CCATTTGCAAGAGGATGACTAATAAACAGTTTTCAGTGATGGTAAAAACACTGTAGAAAACATCTTCACCAACACCTAAAATCCACGCTCTGCTAAAATGAGGCATTGCAGGGAGACAGCTGTCTCTTGAGGAAAACAGCACCACACCCAAATTCCTTTATCAATTGTCATTTTGATTGCATCTTTCTGATTTCAGCAGTTCCTCTGTCCATCCTTATGCAAATGTAACTGTTAACATGTTTTGGGATTCTGGTAAAGTTCCCCTAGAGAACTGGGTCACTCTGAAATGATTTCACTTGGAGGCAGCCTGGTGCCCTCAATGAGTCAATGACGGGAAAGGGGCTTCCTGTAGCTGTTGCTCAGAAGCCGTCCACAAATCTGAATGCTGGAGTCACTTTACCCAATCTATAACTGTTAAAAACTGTTAAATCTGTAACTGTTAAAATGCTGTTTACACAGCCACCTTATGACTAGGATGGAAAACCAGTCAGTATTCAGTTCCTCATTTGTGATTACGATACAGCATAATGATAAATATTTATTAAGCATGTAAAGCAGTACAGTAAGAGAGGCTGCAGCTGGAATTATTTATTCTAGTTCTCAGTCTGGGGAGCGACAGTGCTGTTGTCATCACTTCTGTTACCCATACTAGTTGGTTACGAGCAGACTGTTTAAGAGTGGTTTACCACTAAAGACAGGAAGAGAAAGAGAAAGGGTATGTCTGGGCTAGGGTAACAGAGTCAATGCCAAATTGCTGGTCTTTTAGCCTAGCTGTTGAGCTCAGAGTCAGTCTTAGAGCCAAACTGTGGGCTGTCCCAGAGCCCAGAATCTGTATTTCAACCTAGTGATGTTATTAGTACATGACATGAGATAGATTGACAGGGAAACAAAATGAGAAATTAAACAAATGGAATAATAATATCGATAAACTAAATCAAATCAGCATGAACAATGTTCATTTGTATTTATCTGGGCCAAGTTGTTCCACCCATCCCCAAAAGCTAAATCCTACATAGGTGTGGTAACTCATTAGAGTGACAAATAATGATACTCAAAGCAATACATGAAGAAGCTACATGAAACACAGACTGTTGGCATCTTTTGGGCTTGAAAGGACTATAATACAATCATTCTCTTATTTCAGGGAAGGATCTCAAACAAAATACCAGAAAAATTTCCTCCATTAATGAGTACAGTTACCATCAAATATTTAATGACAAAAATACAGATTTTTCCTCACTATTATTTTGCTAAGAGAAGACCAAAAAAAAAAAAAAAAAAAGGTTAAAAACCCTGGGTGGGGAAAGTAAAAATTATCCCTTAACATTCACACATTCTGTTTTAATCTTTTGCAATGAGACCAGAGGGAAACTTTCTAAAGGCAGATTATCCATATATTCTTAGGAGCTCAAATGATTTTACAGATAGAGAATTAACATTTTAGCAAATCTAGGACTAAATCCCATTAATATTTATCACTGTTTTGCAGATTATAGGTGGTATCTGTATGGTTCATTAAATTCTCTTTTTAAACAAAGAAAAATACAAAAATGCAACTATGACTTAGTTCACAGATACAGACCAACTCAACAAGAGAGATCAACTTTATAAGGTGATAAAGTAACAAGAGACTGGACACAGATATTGCCTATTATTGATAAAGAAACTATGGGTGTGTATGTGTATGCAATGAAATATTATTCAGCCTAAAGAAAGGAGATCTTGCCATTTGCCACAACAAGTGGACTTGGAGGACTTCATGCTAAGGAATACAGACCAGACACAGGAAAAAGAAAAATCACATGGTCTCACTTACATGTAGAACCCTCTCCCCCCAAAAAAGGCCACATATGTAGATAATACTATAAAACAATGGTTACTGGGGCCAGGGTAGCAGAGAGGAAATGGAGAGATGTTGGTCAAAGGATACAAAGTAACAAATATGTAGAATGAACAAGTCAAAAGATCTAAGATACAACGTGAAGACTATAGTTAATAATAAGGTATTGTGGATTAGCAAAATGTGGTATATGTATACCATGGACTACTACATAAAAAGGATGAATTAATGCCTTTTGCAGCAATTTGGATGGAACTAGAGACCATTATCCTAAGTGAAGTATCTCAAGAATGGAAAAACAAATACCACATGTACTCTCTAATAAGTTGGAACTAACCAATGGGCACACATGTGCACGGAGGGAAGTAAAACTCACTGGAAATCAAGCAGGGGGCTAGAGGGGGAAGGGGGTGGCAAAAATCTACCTAACCAGTACAATGAACTCTATTTGGGTGATGGGCATACTTACAGACCTAATTCAAGCATTACAAAGGCTACCCATGCAACAAAAACATTTGTAACCCCTTAATGTTTTGAAATAAAAAATAATAGTGTATCATAGTCACGATATTTGCTAAAGGAGTAGATTATACCTGCTCTCATCGGGGGAAGGGAGAAATGGGAAACTTTGTGAGATGATAGGTATGTTAATTTGTTCCACCATAGTAAACACTTTACTATTAAATATGTATTTTATAACATGTTGTATACCTTAAATATACACAATAAAATTTATTTTAAAAAAAGGAAAAAAATACAAAAATGCCACTGTGAATTCACAGATACAGACCAATTCCACAGCAGACATCAATTTTATAAGATGACATAGTAACAGGCGACCGGACACAGAGAGATGTCACATATTATGACAACACACAAACATTATTCTGTTATTCCAGGAAAAAAAGAACCTCTTCTTTCACTGCAAAAAAATGCTTCAAGCTAGAGGGACAAAAGGCGAAATGAGAAAAGCATTTATCTTGGCAGCAGCATTAGAAAATTATGTTCCTAAGATGTTCACATTTCCTTTCAGTATTATAAATGAAGGAAGGTGATATTTTGCCAAAACCCAAAAAACCTTTTAAGGGTATTTCTCTATTACAAATTCAGGTAAAAGGTTTGTACAGTACTATCCAGAAGAAATATAATGGAAACCTTATGTGTAATTTTAAATTTTCTGGTAGTCATACTAATAAAAAAGGAAAAAGGTGAAATTAATTTTAATTTAACCCAATATATCTAAATTATCATTTCAATATAATCAATATAAAAATTATTGAGATATTTAACTTTTTTTTCCCCACACTAAGTCTTCAAAATCTGGAATATATTTACACTCACATCACAAATTCAACCAGGCACATTTCAAGTGCTCAATAGCTATATGTGGTTTGTTGGTACCACACTGGATAGTACTGCTCTATACTACGAACTTTTGTTTCCATAACATTAGTGATGATAGGTATTTGCACTAGAGCTTTTGTAGTGGAGAGTCTGGTGTAATGAATTTTATTATTATAAGGCCCAAAATGATGTATATTACAAAAGTGTGGAGTGCTATTTTAAAAAGTTCTAAATCTTTGTTCTGTTCATTATAAGCAAGACTAAGTTTTCAGTTAATACACTTTCATATACCAGGGTCCTCAGTCTATTAAAAATGCTGTCCCCTGAGTTAGCAGTAGCCTCAGAAGACAAGTCTGCATTCTAGTTTCTTGTTCTACCTACCAGTTGGTTCACACACATGCAAACATGCTGCCGCCACAATACACTGGGTTATAGTTAGCATGATGCTAATCTAGATCACTCAGCTTAAGGATTATTTCATAGATTCAGTACAATCTCCTATGACTTAAATAATTTTTTAATGTTCTTTTAAGTATAATAACTTCATTTTGGCTATTGCTGTAAGTCCATTATATGTTCACATACTAAGGAAATGTGCATATATAAACATGCAGTCTACTTAAAGATTTCCTGTTGATGAAATTCTGTGGCCGAAAACTAAATCATAATTAATAACATTAATTTCTTACCAAATAACTGGACTTGAAGAGCCTCAAAATACCTTCAATGAAGGATCCCTTCTAGAGCACAGAGAAGTTCCCAAAGTATAACTCTTGGCTGATAGGCTGACAAACTGAAAATCAGCACACAAGAAAAATACATAATATATGCGCTTAACTTTATTTTCTCCAAATAAAATGAAGAATCACATGCTTCTCATCTTCTGGAAATAGCTTGAGAAGATTTTTCTATTGTAAATCTAGTTTCTCTTCACTTTAAAAATTAAGTGTTGGCCAGGCGTGGTGGCTCACGCCTGTAATCCTAGCACTTAAGGAGGGGAGGACAGAGGATAACTTGAGGCCAGGAGTTTGAGACCAGCCTGAGGAAGAGCAAGACCCTGTCTCTGCAAACAACAGAAAAATTAGCTGGGCATGGTGGCGCACTCCTGTTGTTTCAGCTACTCGCAAGGTTGGGGTAGGAGGATTACTGGAGCCCAGGCCCTTGAGGTTGCAGTGAGCTGAGATGGACCACTCTACCCTGGGCAATAAAGTGAGACCCTGTCTTGGAAAAAAAGAAAAAGAAGTGTTGACCAATAAAAGGTAAGTATAAAGAAACGTTAAAAATTAATAATTAAAAACACAACTCAATAGGAAAAAAGGTAAAAAGACACGAAGAGCGGTTTCCAAGAATAAGAAATAGAAATTACCATAATAAAACATGTCAGCTTACTAATAATAATCAAACCTATCCAAAATGAAACCACAATGAAATATCATTTTACACTCCCCAGCTTGGAAAAAATTTGACTTTGGCAATGCCAAACATTGGTTAAGATCTAGAGTCCTGAAAATTCTAGCATACTGGTGGGAGCATAAGTTAGTACCATTACTTAGGAAACAATTTGGCCTTATCTAGTAAAGTTACAATGTGTTTTTATCATATAACTCAGCAATTCTATTGAAGGTATATATCCATTCGTTTATGTACAGAAGTCACATAAAAGAATCTTCACAGCTACATTTCTTGTCTCTATTGCAAAGACGCAGTTCAATAGCCAGCAATTAGAAAAGAGAAAAACTTGATACTTCCACACAATGGAATAGCAGTGAAAAAAACTCCCATCGCAATGAACATAAAAAGGAAGTGACAGATTACATCCAGTTTTATTCCATTTATTATTCTTTAAGGATACATACATGAAGGTAAAACGATAAGGGACAGGAAGACTATGGTCCACACAAAGTTCAGTACAGGGGCTTCCTCTATCAGACAGGGAGAGAGAGGTTCAGGAAAAAGCACATTGAGTCTCAAAGGAAAGGCAATAAGGTGGGTGATAGGCACACAGGGGTTTTTATTATTATTATTACTCCTTATACTTTAACATATATATCAATATTATATGTATCTATGCATATATATATATTTCATTGCATATATGAAATTTTTAAAAATTGGAATGGATGTAACAAAGGAAAAAATGACGTGTCATGTTTCAGATGATGAACCACAGCCTGGAATGCTCTTAACTTACCTCAACTCTGTCATTTACCACTGCCTATAACTGCTGCTTCTGTTTCTGTTTCCCCATCTTTGAAGGTGAAGATTATTGTCCTGTTCGGACAGTACCCATCACATTCCAGGGGCTCAATCCATGCTGATGGAAAGGATGAACAAACTAACCTGATCTGCATTTCTAGAAGAACTAGGAAAACTTTGGAAATTTGGGTCACAAGTGGGTGGTGATCATTTTGCTTATTTGGCTTCACAGTTTCTCACGTTGCTGCAAACTTACAGCCTGTTCCCTTTGATCCCTTCCTCCACCCTCCTTCTGTCCTGGTGTTTAAGGTTTGAAATAGTTCAGTGATTAGATCAACCTCTGACACTGACTTCAGAAATGTTGTTTTCTTCTGTTTTCAGGGGGTGGCTGCCCCAAAAGGGGCCCTGGGTAATAAAGGGTCATGGCCACTCTGTCCTTGTTTTCTGCACCCAATTAGGGGAACATATCCACCAGCCCGTAGCTTCTGTATACTCAGGAGGCCACAAAGTCATCCATTTGAACCCACCCAGGGGCTGAGTGATCTAACTCCATCCTCCATGCTGATCACCGTCTGAGATGATTCTGTTGTCTCCTCCCAACATAACTGTGAAGGACCCGTGCCTGGCTCCTTGAATGGTCACACAATCTGTTTGTATTTTTACAGCTGAATGTGCAGCTTTCACACATGGGGTTCATGGATGGAAGGAGAAGCACAGCCTCTCCACTAAACAGAAAGGATTCAGCCAAACACAGAACTGAAATCTTTAAAAGTGTGAGAAACGGTAGGGAACAAACACTCCATTTTCAGGATATATGTTTTCTGGAATTTATTCCCCTTTAATGCTGAATATAAAATCTGAGATTTCACCAATTCCTTTAGAGATAAACACATACAAATTGAAATCTAAAAACAATAATTATACAGCTCAACGTGGAGCCTGACACGTAAGAAAAGCTGTTAAATGAAAAGTACTTCCAGAGAAAGCAAAACCCCATAATAACATCAAACAAACAAAACGAAAACAAAAGAGAAAGAGGCTTTGGTACCTTTCAGTAACAGAAGACAAAAATAAGTTTAGCTCATTATTAAATTCATATAATATAAAAACATCTCTGTGGGAGTACTGAATTAAATCTATAAAAGAGAAACAAATCTAAAATATATTAGAGTCTGAGGGGAAAAAGAAATTTTTCCTTTTCTCTTCTTTGATTTTAATAAAACACCAGAATTTGGAAAAACAAGTATTTTCCCAACTAAATTTACTTCTGGTCTGTATACATCTAGCAGGATGGCACTCTGTATTTTATCTAATTTTACAATGGCATAATTTGATTTTTAGCAGCACATTTCCTTTGTCCCAACAAGCCCACTACAGGAAATAAAAATTCTGTCTTGAAATGCCCTTGATATTAAATCTATGCCTACAATTCCCATCCACTTCTTTCCTGGGTTTTTAAGACTGTGATTATCAAAATCTATAGGCAGCTAGTTAAAAAAAAAAAAGGGAACAAGAAAATCATTATCCCATGTTTGGAATTCGGCTGGTAAAAAAGTACAAGCAAGCACATGACATTCTCTGAACACTGTATGGTCCCAGAGGGCAATACCTGGGCACGCTGTGGGGCCTGGATACTGTACGAATGCCACACGCTGTGCTGCTAGCTCACTCACAACAAGTACAGTATTGCCTGAGGCTGGTTTATTGTATTTCTCTGTTGATCAAAAAATAAAAAAAATAAAAAAATCAAGATGGGGAGATGGTATGTAACAGCAGCAATAATTTAGCACTACTATCCATCTAGTCTGTTTAATATAATCATACTAGGTATACTATGGTTAATTCAAAAGTTATAAGACAAGCAAATGTGTACAGCTTTCTTTGTCCAGCAAATATGGTATTGATACTATATCCCCAGAATTTAACTTGCAAAGCCTCAACCATACCAACTTGGTTCTTAGTGCTCCCTGGCAAGAGTAGACCAAACATATTTAATAAGTTGGGTAATTTTATAACAATTTTTAAAATTGCTGTACCATAAGAAATTCTAAGTCTTAACAGAAGACTCACATACTCAAACACAATATCCAGTTTAAAGAAAAAAGAATTCCTGAATAGTCCTTGGGATTTATCAAATGGAATTTGACCTGGATCTTATTTAATGCCAACTAACCAGTAATATTCATATTGGACAACAGCTTTCCTTGGAGAGAAAATTGTGGATTGTGCGTCTATTCCAGTCAAGTAGAAATCTGTCACGCTTTTCTTCTGTGTAGTCCTGGACTGCAAATCTCAGGCTGGGACTTCAGCTCTAGCATTTGGCAAGTTCTTTATAGTCCACATTTTTAGCCAGAAATGGGGCCGGAGGGGGGGGGGAGCATAGATGTAACAGAGCTTTAATTCTTCCGCCCTTTCCATTTCTTATAAATTTCTTGCTCAGAATCATAATGAAAGGTCCAGAATCAGGATGTTGGGAGTTGTATTTTAAACAGCACTCTGAGAGTTTACCCTATTCAAGGCTGTTTCCATGTTTGGCAATAGAAAACTCTAAAATATGAAGTGCCCCTGTTATAGGGACAAGGATGCAGAAAAGTAGCCTCACCCTAATGAAGTAGACATCTTCAGTGTTTACCAGCATCCACTCCAGTGGGAGTAGAGATTTTACCTGCCAAGTACAAATCTGAGTTATTCTACAGACAGCCTCTTTCTCATATATGTTGCTCCGAAAACACACCTATACTCCTGTATGGATGAGAACATGTAGCTGTACTACCCTGAAAAATCTGAGACTGCTTTGGCCAGAAATATGAGCAAGTAAAGTCATAGGGAAAATGAAAAGTAATATAAGAAAAAATTAAATTGTACAGCAATATTGGTATCTTTAATATGTCTCGTCAAGGGTTCACAAAATATATCTAATTGAGATCTTCCTTTCTCAGAAAATATAATTCCTTCACAAAATAGAATAAGCAGCTGTTAATAGTTAGGGGAGCTGCATTTAAAAATATATGTCTACTTATGTATAAATAAACTGCTATGGCTGAATAAGCCTTCAGATACTAGTCAGATGATTTTCCCATAAATTTATTATCTAATTGGTGGATCTCTTAAAATATATCTTTCAAGGAGTCTTATGTATTTAGGTAAAATTTTCCCTTTGCAAGAGATTAAAGAAGCATATATTTTCCAAAATAGCAATTCTTTTCATCCCTGTTACTTAGTTCTGATCACTCGATGTTTTAACAGGGATTTTTGGAGACATCTGTAGGAGCTTGGAGGTTTTATAGGGGTAAGAGTTCCCACTACAAAAATGAGTCTAGAACATCTAACTTTTTCACAGGTGTTATTAAAAAGCATTGGAACAGTGACGTTTGTGATTCTAAGCAAAAATCTTCAGTGCTCTTTGTCAATCAGCATTGTTTTTTTTTCTTTCTTTCTGATTCAAAGACTCTAATAACCTGGCAGGCTAAAAATTCAAGGATGCAATCCAGGCAGCTTAAAGAGAAGCAGGTATATACAACTCTGGCATCTACTATAACCTAGTGCAGATCCAACATTTTCTCTCTGATGGTGCTACCCACTTATCTTTCAGTCATTAAGGAAGCACACCTATAACAGGTGATAATATTTCCTGGTGAGTGAGGCAACTGTAGGCAAATCTGAAAAAAAAAAAAAAAAGAAAGAAAAAAGAAAAATCCACCACCTGATTTGGTTTAAAGCAATCATGCAATTCCTATCATACCCACATCTTCCAAAAACACCTTTTCCGTGGCAAGCAAAGTTACTGACAATGCATGTGGCTTTTGTCACAGTGATGCATTAGGTAAGCAGGTGTGTGCTGAGTACCAGGGGGGTGCTCCAAAATGCATCTCTCCATCATCTTCCACTTTTCCTCTCTAAGGCTCGGCCTAGTTATTTAAAAAAAAAAAAAAAATAGGCACCAGTTATTGCATTACATTGATAAGAAAATTCACCCTTGACAGGGTTTTTTTAATGTCAGGAATAGACACATTGGAAATGATAATAAATCACGCCCATGTGATTGACAACAACAAATCCTGGGTTTCAGCCACAGAGGCCAGATTTAAGTCAAACCTACCTGACCTGCAAATACAAAAGTGGAAGCTGCATGTTTACAATAACCTACTGAGACTCCTCTCAGAGGCACTATTCCACCAGTGCATGGCTGGGTGAGTGGGGGTTACCTTGCTCAGGGGGCCTGTGGAGGTGCTGGGTAATGCTGACCCAAGGTAAAGAACAGCACTAGTATGGCCATACCTGTTAGCAAAGAGTCACTGCCTGAATCCCAAGTGCCACCTGCCCCTCCACCCCATGAATTCAACTGATATATGGCTGACACCTGGAACAGGGGTCCTCCATGACCTGCTCCAGCTCTGGCCAGTCACTGCCCAAAGTTTCCCAGTTGTTACATATTTTGAATAGCACCTCTGAACAGTGGGGATCTGAAAGTAAAATCTACTATAGGCCCTACTTGGGGTCTATAATAAACTTGATGGTTTTCTACCTGAAAATTATTAGTGAAAAAGGCTCCTTTTCTCAGGTAGGTACCATCATGGGCCAGCCACTGCTGCTGCAGCCAGCCACAGGGGAAACTGAGCCCCCCTGCAAGGCCCCCTCTCACTGTCAGGGGTTTCCACGCCTTCCAACTTCTCAGGAAAAGCAGGAGATCTATATTTTATTTTATTTTTTTTTTATTTTTTTTTACATTGTTTAAGCTACCAAATATATTTTAAATATTAGCAACACTTATGTTCTTTTGAAATTCTGTTCCAGACAAGCAACATGTGCAGAGCCAATGTGGCCTGCAGGCCACCATTTGATGACCTCTGACCTTCCTTGGCCCTGTCCACCTTTGAGAGCAGCCCAATCAGAATCTACACTGCCCCTGTGCCCGTCGGGCCCGAGAATGTTCTTTTCCTACAATGTTAGAGCAATTAGAAATGCTAGTGGTCTCGTTATATGTTTCCTAATAGGCTTTCTAGCACTGTCTGTGATGTGTGTATACTGCAGAGAGTAGGAAAGGAGAGGAGAGAGGGGGGCTTTCATCTGTTAGTATGTTACATCTGTGAACACCCTGTCAAAGCCTTAGACTGTGGGATGAATTACTGTCAAGGTAAAAAATAAATGACTAGAAAGAGGGAAAATGCTGAACTGTTCTTACAGATATTTTCACTTCTCTCATATAAAGATGAAGTATGAGTTGCTATTGACCTGAATGGTTGATCAGAGACAGCGGCACAGACCCTGCACCATGGATATCCGCTCTGGTCCTCCCATCCCAGGGGCTCCTGGCCAGGTGCAGCTGAGTCAGGTGCTTGCAAATGGTGGGTTGAACAGGTGGGGCTGTCAAGGGCCCTCACCACCTTTGGGATGGTCTACTAAAACCAAGTCAACTTCAACGGCACCAAGACCAACTTTAATACTATCACCATTGCCATGTGAGAATGATCATAGATTTCCTGAGACATTTTTGAGAAAATAATATTTTTTGAAGAATAAAAAAAGACAGCCCACAGGATCTCTAAGGAATCTACATCTTTGGGGAAAATGGGAACACATGGTATTTTTTTGAGAGGTTTTTACATAGACAATGATGCCCGCTGGATTTATGCATCCATTAGATTATCCCTAGCCCAGTTTTTTATAGTTCTTTCAAGATAAACCTGGGTAATTTGATATCTTTGGATGAAACATGTTATAAAAATACTCTAATTTTCCTAACAAGTATTCAAATGTTCCATCTTTATAAAAATAGTTTTAAGAACCTTTAAATACTTTACGTGTGGGTTTTGCCTCTGCTTAAAACATGTGCACAAAAACCACCCACAACCATCTGTGGACTTACTGATGTAAAAACAAAGCAAGGTTTTACATCGCGTATGCACTGCAAGTGCTGGTGTATAATTTATGTTACTGATGGCCCCTGCCTTCCTCCCACAGGTGTTCCCGAGATGGCACCAATCCTGGCTAGCCTGCAAAGACCTATTACTTACAGACATCAAAGTTCTAAGTAATGCACTTTCTATTTCAATTGTGTTAAAAATAGACACTTTAGAATTCAGTCTCAATTTGAAATATAGTAAAAACCTCAATTACTATGTACATAAAGACTGCAAGGAAATACACAAAAATGTCAATGTGGTTAGCTTTGGGTAATGATTTTTATTTTCTACTTTATACTCTTTTACATTTTCCCAATTTTTATGAATGAGCCTAGGCTACTTCCATAATCAGAAAAAAATTGTGTTTTTTAAAATGGCAAATAACAATCAAAACATTACCTTACTTTAATAACAATATTTTTTTTTTTTTGAGTCATAGTCTCACTCTGTTGCCCAGGCTAGAGTGCTGTGGCGTCAGCCTAGCACACAGCAACCTCAAACTTCTGGGCTCAAGAGATCCTTCTGCGTCAGCCTCTCGAGTAGCTGGGACTACAGGCATGTGCCAGCATGCCCGGCTAATTTTTTCTATACATTTTTAGTTGGCCAATTAATTTCTTTCTATTTTTAGTAGAGATGGGGTCTTGCTCTTGCTCAGGCTGGTCTCGAACTCCAGACCTTGAGCAATATGGCTGCCTCAGCCTCCCATAGTGCTAGGATTACAGGCATGAGCCATCATACCTGGCCTGTTTTTTCTTATTTTGAACATGAATCCATGTGCCTAATAGAATTGTGATAATACAGATCATTTCTAGGTCTAAACATAAGAAAATATTGAGTCCTTTACATTTTCCAAAAGACATATGACTTAATAAAGCAGCTTCAAAAATATTTAGGAATTGAAGCATTTTTTTCAAGGTTGCCCATTTGTTATTGTAGATCACTTAGTCTCTAGTGAAAATAAGTTTGAAATACCTTTAAAATACGGCTTTGAGTCTATTTCAAAAAGTGTAATGTAAATTTTCAATTTAAAATAGAAAGCACCTACTACTTTTTGCTACCTTAAATTCTTCTTGGAAGAATGAGATATAAATTATAAATAAACTAATATTCTAATGTCTAGCAACAATTAAAAATAAAAAATTAGGCTCCTTTGTGTGTTTTACCACTAATTAATGCATTTGAGGAAGCAAAAACTAAAAATTTAGGAGACTGTATATGCATTTCTCTAATAGCTTGAATCTCCATCCCTAAGAACAACTTAGAAAAAGATAAATTCTTAAACAAGAATAAGGTAAGATTTACCTACCTTTGATGTCAACCGTGGTTTCAGGCCAAGGAATGAAAAGACTGTGTTGCTTTCCTTTGATTCAAAAAAACTGTCATAATCCTAGAAAAAAGGGAAGGAGAAAATAAAACCAATAAACGAAAGGAAATAATTATATTTGGTGCTTTTGACCAATTCTTTATGGAAGTAAAAAATGTACCATTTCTCCACCCAGGCCAGAGAAGAGCTACCTAAATCTGCTCCTACTTGAGCCTAAAAATCTCTTTCAGTATGATGATGAACGTAACAAGTTTTTAATCCAAAACATATGCAGGAATAAAATGTAAAACATTTGACAAAAGAAATGAAATAGGAATACACTCCTTTTCTCTCATGTGCCACACTAACATTTACCTGTGTGGAATCACTCCCATGTAAGATTTTACTCTAGGTCTTCAACATGGAAGGCTACCTCCCAATTCCATCCTTGATATTTTGGTATCTAAGGCTTTAAAAACAGTCAATGGGTGAACAGAAAGTCGTAAAGATCTCCATTTGTCAGCACAGGTGCTTCTATTCTGCTTCGGAAGTTGTCCACATTCTTTGGGACTATGTCTTCAGAGAAAATAAAAAGATAAAATAAAGAAAGACTAAAGGAAATTATATTCCCTATAACATTTACCTTTGCCTCAGACACAGAATCATTTTTCTCTTTCTACTTTCACGAGAAGACATTAAGGAATTCTGGTCAACATGTTTATCAACTGTTTCTTTCCCAAAATTTTGCGTTTATCCTACTACGTGGTTTCTAAGTCGATGTAAAGCGGTCTTAAAATTTGGTAATTTGATAACTTTATCCTAAGGATAAAAATTGTAAGCAAATGATGATCAGGGTCATGATTAGGGATTCACTTTGTACTAGGTCCCTTACAAACATTATGTCATTTAATCTCCACCACAGCCCGCCAGGTTGGAGACTGGCTCAGAGCAAAGAAATACGTTGTCCAAGTTTGACAGCTAATAAATGACAGAGCTGATATTTGGGCTCATGTTTCAGTGACCTTGAAATTCACACTCTTTGTACTCTAAGATGCCGCCTGTCCAAGAGGAAACCAGGTGTGGGGCACCCTGTGTGCCAGAGTCACTGAGCCCTAATGAATCCATTGTTAAGCCAACCCAATGGCATCACAAATACTTTAGAAACCTGTCTGGAAATCTAAATGAGTCAACAACTTGTAGAGTAGAGATCTGCCTCTTGCAAAGCATGCCTCATTTGATTAAAGATGTTTGAATTATTTGGCTCTATGTACAGACCCTCTTGTCCAAAAGCTTTGGCAAGCTGAGTCTCGTGGTTTTGAAGGCAGCTGTGATTTTAATTCACAGTCTTCTCAGCCTCAGGCTTTGCACTGGCTGCTCCTTTTGTCATTTAGGATCAGCTCTCAATAAAGAGAGGCTCCGCAAAGTCCTCTTTGAAATTTGGCATTTACACTGACATCTGAAGGATGAGTAGAGTTAGCCAAGGGAAGGCTTGGGACAGGGGCATTCGGGGCAGGGAACAGCACTAGTGAAAAGTGAAGCTGGCAGGTTTGACAAGGATCAGCATGTGCTGGGCTTTGTACACCAAGAAAAAGATTTTAAATTTTATCTTACGTACCAAAGGAAATCATATAAGGGTTATGAGCAAAGGAACAAAATGATTCAGTTTCTTTTAAGAAAATACCCAAATAACTGTGTGGAGAGAGGGGAGGGAAGCAGGGAGAAAAGTTAGGAAAGTACCTTGGCAATCATGTAAGTGATGAAGGCCGCCTGGACCAAGCGATGGCAGTGGGGAGAGGGAGCAGCAGACAGGGTGGAGATACATTCTGGTGGTAGAACTGATCACACTTGGGTGTGGATTTGGTGGTGGTTGGGGGGTTTCAGGGACAAATAAAAATTAAAGTGGCTCTGAGCTTTCTGGCTTCATGGAAAGAACTAGAGAAAAAGGATATTTGAGGGGAAGGTTGGAGTTGACTTTCAACACGTTAAGTTTGAGAATCTGTATGTGACAGCCAAGTAAAGAAGACATCAACTAGGTAGTTGGAGGTTCCTAATGGTCCTAGGATGTACAGATTTCCTGAAATTTATTTTTAAAAATCTATGATTTTTTATAAGACAAAATATGATCCTAACTAAGTCACGAATAATACAGGTCAAAGTTTGATGTAGAATACAGAGAAAATCTCATGAACAGGAAATACTATATTCTTTGAATAATCCTGTCTCTTTACCTGACAGTTTGCTGCTTATACTGAATGTGGTAAAAGGAAGAAGACAGCTACACTATAGCTAGATTTATTCCATCCTTCTAGATACCTACTCTATGAAAATTAGTGTACTTGTTCCTCTATGCCATATTCTGCCTCTACTCATGCTAAATTCTTTCCCCAGGGGACCTCATTCACAGCCATGGCCCTAATTAAATTCACATCTCTAGCTCGCACCTCTCCTCTGAGCTCTGGTTCCATATATACATCCAGCTGTTCCTAGACTCCTAAACGTAAAAGGTCCAAACCACAATTCATGATCTTCCACTCCCAAACTGGACCTCTCAGAAAATGGCACCACTATTTCATGGGCCCTACAAGTTAGAAACCAAAGCATCACAGCACTCCTTTCTTCCCTCAACCACTATTTTATATATCCCTTAAGCCTCTGCATTTTTCTGTATTTGTCTCTGTTGCCCTAAACTATACTGGACTTCTGCAACAGCACCCCAACTTATCAACACTCATCTAATCGCACATATTTCCACCCAATCATTCCCTCAAGTGAGTACAGACTGATCTTCTAAAAATATAAATTTGATCCTATCACTTTCTGTTTAAATCCTTTGCTTCAAGACTTCTTATTCCTTATAAGATACAGACTAAATCCTTAATGTAGTGTAAAAGGCCCTAAATGGTCCAGTTCTGACCAACTCATCAAGTTTGGGGAGGGGAGAGGTGTTATGCTTCCACTGGCATCAACTGCTGTCTGGTTTCTGGGAAACTAAGTGGTGTACGTGCCCAGCCAACTGTGGGTGTGATGTCCAACAATCTACTAATGACTTTTATCAACTCATTTAACCCCCTCTGACTTTCTTCCTTTCTGTATCAGATATTATGAAAGTCCCTTGTAGCTCCAGAATTCTACAAATAAAGGAGCATCCAGTAGTTGCTTATAAATGGACTGTTAGCCATGGCCAGCTGTAAAGTCCAACCTAGGCATTCCTGTTACTTGATACGTCTATTTGGAAATTGCCCCTCTCCTGTCTAACTGAACAGGAAAGGGAAGAGATTAATGAGAAGGAAAAACTGAGGGTCAGTAACTTGGTCATCAAAATGCTGTCCCTGTTCTTGAGTCTAAAAGGCTTCTATCTGTCTCTACTTGATTGAAAATCTCCACTGTCAGTATGAGATGCAGGAATAAAAAGGTAATAATGTAAGAAATAAAAAATGAGAAACAATGCCTCACCCAATCTCCATAAATCTCTACTTTCAAAAGATTAAAGTGGTAACATGAAAATATTGTGCATGTAAAAGAACAAAAGGCAAGTTGCAATGAGACTTAATGTTTATATTTCAGGTTTCAGTGTTTATAATTAAAAACTTTAATCTTAAAATGATCACAATTCCCCAATCACAAAATGTGAAATAAGGTAAACTCTCACATGCAAGTTTCGCCTACATAAAATAAGACCTCTAAAATATATACCTGTAGAGAAAATATGTAACATTATCAATAATCCATTTATTCACATTGAACTAAAGTGCTCTTATAAATTTCAGTCACCAACAAAGGTATTTAGAAATCTCAGAATGGAAGTATTTCTTATAGAAAGAAAAACTTCTCTTAAACTCTATGTCATAAAAATTATAAGTATTATATTTATTTTATGAACCTTTAACTCAATGCCATGTCACTATGGCCAGGGAGGACTTTTTATCTGAAGACTCAATTAGATCTACCCAAAGTTTAGAAATTTTCATTTAAGGTAATTAACTTCTTCCAAAAAACAGATTAAAAATTTGGTAATTAACTTTAAAAGCAGAATCATTTAAAGAAAATCATTTTTAAAAGTCAATGTTAGACTAGTACCTGATACACACCAGGTTACCAATAATTTCTGTCATGTGGATGGATAAGTTGTATTAGTTAATTAATGACTACACAGGCCATGTTTTAGGTAATATCATGCTAGTAACATACTTTGAGTAAATCCTATTTCTATTCTGTTATTTACTGGTTTTAAAGAAATGTGTAAAAAGTTTACTTTATAACATTAAAAAGCTTTTAAGTAGCCTGAGGAATCCTATAGTATTTAAGAAGTAAAACTACTTTGTTATGTTTAGGCAAAAAATAGGTGATTGACAATTTAAAATACAGGACCTCTTAATAGTTAATATCTCTTTTCAGAGAAAATAAGTTAAATTGTATGCTATAAAATAATTTAAGATTAATCTAGTACTAAAAATTTTAAAATCACTTCCTACTAAGATATAAGCTCTTATATTATGGGTTGTAGGCATTCTCCAATAAAAGAAAACATTCTGCTTTCTTATCAAATTTGTTTTTCTTGTCAGGTTGATATATATTTTAAAAACATATTAGAGTTCCTACCAAAAAGATTAAAAGAACTATATTTTAGAAATTCACATAAAGTTTCTAAATAGGCTTGCTGAAGTCCTTATAGTCAAAGGCACTCTCCCTGAAGTGTTTGTAAATACATGTCTGAAGATTGTATATTTTAGGACAATCAACCTTCTGTAACTATAGAATATAATGATTCATCAATATTTACTTTGCATAAGTATATAAACACACAAATCATATTCAAGGTAAAACTGCCCAGTTTTAGAAGCTGGTGCATTTTCATTACATTTAAGACAAAGGAAGAAAAGGACAAAAAGACAAACTTTGTTTTTAATGCCAACTGCTTACAAAAAGAAACACTTCTGATAATAGCGTAACCAAGCATTCTTATTCACTAAGGGAAACACTTACATAAATGCTGTAATTTTAAGAAAAATAAAGCAAGCTAAACAGCTGTTTAAAAAAAAGTCTCTCATCACCTACACGTCTGTTTGTGTTCAAGTGAAAACACT